TATTGAAAGAGAAAAGCAAAGCCGGCGGCATCACAATTCTGGACTTCCAGCTCTATTACAAAGCTGTCATCATCAAGACAGTATGGTTCTGGCACAAAAACAGACACATAGATCAATGGAACAGAATCGAGAGCCCAGAAATGGACCCTCAACTCTATGGTCAACTCATCTTTGACAAAACAGGAAAGAATGTCCAATGGAAAAAAGACAGTCTCTTCAACAAATGGTGTTGGGAAAATTGGACAGCCACATGCAGAAGAATGAAACTGGGCCATTTCCTTACACCACACACAAAAATAGACTCCAAATGGTTGAAAGACCTAAACGTGAGACAGGAGTCCATCAAAATCCTAAAGGGGAACACAGGCAGCAACCTCTTCGACCTCAGCCGCAGCAACTTCTTCCTAGAAACATCGCCAAAGGCAAGGGAAGCCAGGGCAAAAATGAACTATTGGGATTTCATCAAGATAAAAAGCGTTTGCACAGCAAAAGTAACAGTCCACAAAACCAAAAGACAACCGACAGAATGGGAGAAAATATTTGCAAACGACATATCAGATAAAGGGCTAGTATCCAAAATCTATAAAGAACTTATCAAACTCAACACCCAAAGAACAAATAATCCAATCAAGAAATGGGCAGAAGACATGAACAGACATTTTTCCAAAGAAGACATCCAAATGGCCAACGGACACATGAAAAAGTGCTCAACATCGCTCGGCATCAGGGAAATCCAAATCAAAACCTCAACGAGATACCACCTCACACCCGTCAGAATGGCTAAAATTAACAAGTCAGGAAATGACAGATGTTGGCGGGGATGTGGAGAAAGGGGAACCCTCCTACACTGTTGGTGGGAATGCAAGCTGGTGCTGCCACTCTGGAAAACAGTATGGAGGTTCCTCAAACCGTTGAAAATAGAGCTACCATACGATCCAGCAATTGCACTACTGGGTATTTACCCCAAAGATACAAATGTAGGGATCCGAAGGGGTACGTGCACCCCAATGTGTATAGCAGCAATGTCCACAATAGCCAAACTGTGGAAAGAGCTAAGATGTCCATCGACAGATGAATGGATAAAGAGGATGTGGTATATATACACAATGGAATATTATGCAGCCATCAAAAGGAATGAGATCTTGCCATTTGCAACGACGTGGATGGAACTGGAGGGTGTTATGCTGAGTGAAATAAGTCAATCAGAGAAAGACATGTATCATATGACCTCACTGATATGAGGAAATCTTAATCTCAGGAAACAAACTGAGGGTTGCTAGAGTGGGGGGGCTGGGAGGGATGGAGTGGCTGGGTGATAGACATTGGGGAGGGTATGTGCTACGGTGAGCGCTGTGAATTGTACAAGACTGTTGAATCACAGATCAGTACTTCTGAAACAAACAAATATATGTTAAGAAAAAAAAAAGAAGAAGCTAGCAGGAGGGAAGAATGAAGGGGGGAAATCAGAGGGGGAGATGAACCATGAGAGACGATGGACTCTGAAAAACAAACTGAGGGTTCTAGAGGGGAGGAGGGTGGGGGGATGGGTTAGCCTGGTGATGGGTATTAAAGAGGGCACGTTCTGCGTGGAGCACTGGGTGTTATGCACAAACAATGAATCATGGAACACTACATCAAGAACTACTGATGTAATGTATGGTGATTCACATAACAATAAAAAATTTAAAGGGAAAAAAATAAAAAATAAAACCCGGTCCCGGCTCTGAAGGCTGACTAAAGTACATATACTCGAGGAATTTCTAAGAACCAAGGCAGCTTGAGCATAAACATCTAACTGTATAGCTCCTCTCCTCCCCACCACATTTCTGACCTCCCAAATCACAACTACAATTAACAAGGAGATATTAAAGTACATGGAAATCACCTGTGGAAGTTGAGAAAGAATGTCACCCACATGCCCTTCACTCCGTAAGTTCCAGGCACTATACTAGGTGCTGTGCCATGTATTATAAATGTTAGATATTTCTGCTAGATATAGAGAATGATGCATGAGCTTGATGGATATGCCTTTGAAATGAAAACAGTCTTCCTGAGACCCTCTAATGAACAGCTAGTCTGACACCCTTTCATCCACCATGACCTCCCCAGGAAGCACTGTGAGCACACATGCCTACGTGGTCTCTACTAATGTTTTTCCTGTCTCGTTTTAAAAAATAAATGAAAATAATTGAAAGGTGGGACTCAATCGGATATTTCTACACCCACATTCACAGCAGTGGTATTCACGTAGTCAAACATGGAAGTAACCCAGGCGCCCATTGATGGAGGAATGGATAAACAAAATGTGGTTGGAGACACACAATGGACTATTTTTCAGCCTTGACAAGGTAGTACATTCCAACACCTGCTACAACATGGGTCAACCAGGAAGACATTGTGCTAAGGGAAATAAGCCAGACATGCAGGACAGACATTGTCTGATTCCACTTACAGGAAGCACTCAGAAGAGCCAGATTCGTAGACCAAGAAAACAGAATAACGGTCACCATGGTCTGGGTGAAGAGGGAAATGGGGAGTTATGGTTTAAGAGTTATGGAATTTTAGTTTGGGATGATGGGAAAGTCCTGGAGACAGACAGTGGTGATGGTTGCCTGACCCTATGAAGATATTAAGTTCTACTGAATTGTATACTGAAAAAAAAATAGTTAAAATGGTGTATTTTATATTCTGTATATTTTACCACAATAAAAAATGCCCAGCAGATGATAACCAGACACTTGAGAAAGGCCTCTAACAGAAAAAGAGCAAAACAAGTCAATATAAATAAGGGGCCTGGATTATACAGAGATGACTCAAGGAGCAGAAGAAAAATGTATAAATAGAATGTTCAGTGGAGTGAAAGAAGATATTGCCCCTACAGAACACAAATTACAAAAAGAACAGCATACTATACAAATGATCATTTCAAAAAGAAAGAACATTTGGAAATTAAAACATCTGATAACAAAAATTCAGTAATAGAATATAAAGATGAGGAAACATTCCAGAAATGGACCAAAAGATCAAGAGGTAGAAAATAGCAGAAGAACAAAAGAGTATTTTTTTCAGAAATTACAATATCAGAATAATTGGACTTCCAAACGACAGAGAAAATAAAGAAAAGGAAATCATCAAAGGAAATAATAGGAAAACATTTTTTCAGAACTGAAAGGCATAAGTGTCTAGATTGAAGGGGCCCATAAAGTACCCTGCAAGATGAATAATAAAAAGCCAAATAAGGCACATCATTTTGAATTTTCAGAACCCTAGGGATAAAGAAAGGGTTCTAAAAATATCCAGAGAGGAAAAAACAATAGGTCATACGCTAAGGATAAGAAATCAGAAACACAAGCCATTTATAAACAACAGTAGATACTGGAATATAATAGAGCGAAACCTTCAGCATTCTAGGGGAAAACTCATTGCCAACCTGGAACTTTATACCTATATAAACTATAAGTTGAGTGTGAGAAAAAATACAGATGTTTTAGGGTATATATAAGGACTCAGAACTTTTTCTTGCTGTTCAATTTCTCTTAGGAACCTACCCAGAATAGAAGGTAAACAGTAAATGTGAAAGGAAGAATTTCCAAGACAGCAGCTGTGCTTTATAGTCTAATGCAGACTCAAATTCTGCAAATGGGCTTTGATGTCCTTATTTCTCTTGACTTCTAAGCAGCAAACACTTGCGTTGTCTCCTCTTGCCTTCCCAACGAACCCTACAAAGTAGATATGATTTTTAACTTCGCACGGTTAAAGGCTAGATAGGCTATATGTCAGGGGAAGGAACAAGTTCTGGGAAGGTAAGAACCTATTTTTGATACGTTGAACTTGACGACAGTTGGATATATGGATCTGAAGCTTAGGACAGAAAGTCTGGGCTGGAGATACAGATTCTAAGGGGAAAATGAAATTATGGGAAGGGATGAAATCACCTATGGAAGTCAACATATTTTAAAAAGCAAAGAGTTGACATAAGAGAACAGACCAAAACAATTAGAATAGAAACACTAGGGGAGCCTGGGTGGCTTAGTCAGTTAAGTGTCTGACTCTTGATTGCAGCTCAGGTCATGATCTCAGGGTCCTGAGTTCGAGCCCTGCCTCAGGCTCTGTGCTTGAGATTCTCTCTACCTCTGCCCTTCCCCCTGCTCATCCGCATGCTCTCTCTCTAAATAAATAAATAAAATCTAAAAAAAAAAAAATAGAAACAGTAATCAAAGCTGTGTCGCAAGAAAGAATCCATGTCTTGTAGAAATACCAAAAGCTACCAAAGAAAAGGTTTTTCCCATGTAGCTGGAAAAATTAATGAAAAGAGACCAAGGTCAAGAGCTGTCTTAGTTAAGTTTGTTATATTAGAGAGAGAGAAACAAATTACCAGATAGAAAATGCTGGTTACTATTAAGGGAACCAAACTCCTTGCTAGTCTCATGCTTCCATGAAGAGAAACTTCCATGAGAACAACACTCCTACCTTTTCTCTCCACCTCTACTAATTTCTCCCCATAAAAGGAGCAGTGATTTATCTGGTATTTGTATTTGAGAGAAGGAAACGAGCATGCCTGGCCCAGGCCCCTACTCCTGTCCCTCTTGCCAAATCCATCAGCCATAAAAAGCAAACATCTTATCTCCTAACCTGCTAGGTGTTGGGGATCCAGCCCTCAAGGTGGAGACACACAGTTGTAACCTGACTCTGTCCATGGTTCTGCCAAAATTGAAAGGTAGAAATTAACAAGCCCCTTTGGCGGCAGAGCTAAAACCCACCTTCTCCAATCAGCCTCAAAACAATACAACTGACATTTTGATCTTGCTTTTCCTATCTTTCCGTTCTCAAGATAATCCCAAAGTTTTTAGCCTACGTGAGCCATAACTTGAGGGGAAGAGAGCATAAATTAAAATACCAGTGGTGACCCACAAAAGACCACCCATCACATTAAATTCAAGAAGACAATGGTAAAGCCCACAAACTGCTAGTTTTTAGGTAAAATATAGCCCAGGTATAGGTATTGTTGGGTGACTTTATTTGGCATATACGGTGCTTTGTACGGCAGCATAATTACGCAGGTATAATATTCGCTTACAACGCATCTCCCTCCAGAGCTGCCTCACGCTCTGCATAACTTCTGTAGAATTTGAGTCTGCTACTCCTGCAAGAAAGCAGTGATTACTGAAGTTAAATAGAATGCTGTAGATCTATCTATAAGTACCAATATGGCTAGACCTCCAAGCCCACCGTAGACTGAAAAAGCAAGGTGCAGGGATGCACCTTGGGTTGTGCAGTCGGTTAAGCGTCTGCCTTCAGCTCAGGTCATGATCCCCACATCAGGCTCCCTGAGCCTACTTTTTCCTCTCCCACCTGCTCTTGCTATCTCTCTCTCTTAAATAAACAAAATCTAAAAAAAAAAAAAAAAAAAAAAAAAAACAGGGTGCAGAATAATCCATACCTAGGATATTATTTATGCATATTTAAATACAACATATTTTCTGATTCCCGGTCCCTCAGATGAAAGTATCTTTTTTTCCTCTCTCGAGCACTTTGTAGGATTTTTGTCTGTACACTCATGTTCTGAATTTCCTGATAATATGTCTTATGAACATGAGAGACAAAGATCCTGACCTCACTGAGCTTACATTCCAATGGGAAGTAAACAACAAATAAATGAATACATATGTAACATGGACAGGAACTTATGACTTAGAAAGAATAAATCATAGCAAGGGAGCCCCCCTTTTCCCAAGGCTGTGGCCAAGCTTCTGGTGATTTGCACAGGGCAGAACCACCATATTTGGGGCAGGGGAGAGGTGTGTTGCTGGGTGGCATTTTGACAAACTTGCCAACTGCCTTTCCACGTGGCCATACTGATTTATAATCCCACCCACAGTAGGATGATCTCTCCCTCCGCCAACCCCACTTCATTGGTGAAAAATATTATATCAATTTTCATTTCCTTGATTAATTTGTGATTTGCCTCTTGGTGTTAGTTTTCTATTAGGTTGTCCAGCTGATTCATAGTTCTCCTTGACACACCCAGTTTCTGGCTCCAAGTTTCTTAGTGTCCCCGCAGTGCTCTGACTGCAGAGTCCTTCCTGGAAGGAGTGCATGATTCAATCACCCAGTTTGTATTTAATTCCTGCTCTGGGCCGGATCGGGTGATTCACCACCAGTATCTTATGTAGACCCCACCACATGCTGAAAGGTAAGTAGAAAGTATCTTCATTGTGCAGATAATCAAAAAGACTAAAAAAAAAAAAAAAAAAGATAAATTACTTATTTCAAGTTCCCATAGCACATAATCCCAGAGGCGGGGACTCAAACCCATGTCTGTGGGTTTCTGAAGCCTGTGCTCATCTCCCTTAAATATTCCTGTTGTCAGATTTTAGGAGCAAAAGCTACCCTGCTATAGGGTTGGCTATTTCAAAGTTCAACCAAAAATTCAGGTCGGCACTTACCATAGTTCCCATAAATAAAGCTCCATAGTCACCTGCAGACCTGTTTAGACCATCTTCCACGTCAATCCAGTTCAAAAGCTGTTTCATCCCCAAATCGCAAGATCTTCCTTCCCACTCAGGTTCTAGGTCCTCCCTCTCAATTCTGGGTCTTATTTTTTTTAAAGATTTAAAAATTTTATTTGAGAGAGAGATAGCAAGAGTGGGATTAGGTGCAGAGGGAGAGAGAGAAGCAGACTCCCTGGGACTCGATCCCAGGACCCTGAGATCATGACCTGAGCTGAAGGCAGATGCTTAACCAACTTGGCCACCCATGTCCCCTCAGTTCTGGGTCTTAAATTGCTGTCAATACTGTTTGACAGTGGCCAGAATGCTCCCATAAAATATTCTTCAATTGTTGCTTCTTTTAAATGCTGTAAAAGCAGGAAAAATGTCTAAGAGGGATTTTTCTACATCATTTTCTTCTGCACATCGTCTTCTGAACAAACACTTAGACAAACGTCAACATGTCTCCTGCCAAATTACATGTCAGTTACTCAAGTCCTAGGCACATGGTGATTTTTGTTACATCAGGTAAAATTTAAGTTCGTGGAATCCTAAAACACTGAAGTTGGAAGGAATCACAGCATTCACCCCACCCAAAGATGACCAGTAGCATCCATAGCTGGAAGCGGCCACCAGGCACAAGGTGTCAGGGAAGCTGGAGTCCCGTGTGGGCTCTGCAGGAAGGAGCATGGTGATCCATTAGCAATGTCTGCCCTGGACCACTGCGGGAACTCCAGGCCTTTCTGGGGGATGCTTGGAAAGGCTGACCCAAAAGGAACATGGAAACATCACTGGGATGAACCAACAAATGTCATTTGTCCCACTCCCAGTGGGCCACACTCTGAAATGAAAAATTTAAAAACCTGTCTCTGCTGGGGGCTTTTTACAACTTTCTCATGAGGTCCCAGTGAGCGAAAATTCTCCACCGAAGTATCTCGTGATATAGTGCCTTCTTCTCAGAAGAGGAAATTTATTTTATTATAGATGTTGTTAAGTGGACTAAAGAAGCCTGAAGAGAAGACAAGAACACGCAAAAAAAGGGAATGTTTTAGAGAATGTTTCAGTGGTTCTGCTTTGCCTTGTTGAAGTAAATTAGCAAACAATTTTTGTTAGTGTTAATAATAATAATAATAATAATAATAATAAAAACAGTTGCTTTTGACTTCTCCCTCCTCCCCAGCCAATAAATATTGGGAAAAAAATGTGTAAAGAATATTGGTTTGGGTGAGGGCCTATTAGGCCTGGGATGTCCATACATCACCACCTGGCTTGGCTGCCTGACATGCAAAAAGAAATATGCATATCATACATTTGTGACCTCTAATCTTGCCTAAAGCATTCATTTTATGGGGGAGGAAACTGGAGCCCGGAGAGATCGAGCCATTTCTCTATAAACATACTAGTGTCAAGATGCCCACAGCCTAACAGGAAGCTATGCAAACCAACCACAGAGGACTCGGCTTTCTTGAGGAATGCATGGGCAGGTTTTTCAAACCCCCAAACTCACACAGACACTTGCTATTAATTAGACCTGTTCACTACCCCGACCAGCACTGACAGTCCCCTTCCTTTCTGAAGGTTTTTAAAAAAAAAAAAACAAAAACAAAGAAACATATATTTTTAAAGATATATTTATTTGAGAGAGAGAGAGAATGAGTCGGGGTAGAGGCAAATAGAGAAACAGACTCCCCGCTGAGCAGGGAGCTGGACGTGGGACTCAATCCCAGGACCCTGGGATCATGAGCCAGGGCAGATGCCTAACCAACTGAGCCACCCAGGTGCCCCAAGAAGCATATTTTTAACACTTCATGGTAGTTATAGAGGGGACCAAACATAACCAGAGCTCTTTCCTACCTTATAGCGTCTGCACTTACTATTCCCTCTGGCAGGAATGCCCCCCCCCCCCGCTTCTGGTGTGCTGACTCCTTTTTATTACACATCTCCCTTCTTTTTTAAAATTGTGGTAAAATATACATAACTTGCAATTTGCCATTTTTACCTTTTTTTTAGCATACCATTCAGTGACCTTCAGTGCATTCACAATGTCGTGCAAACCCTCCACGAGATCTCTTTCCAAAACTTTTTTGTCACCCCAAAGGGAAACTCTACCCATTAAGCAACGACTCTCCATTGCCACCTCTTACAGCACCCCTCCCCTGTAACCTCTGATCCACTTTCTTCCTCCACGAATGTGCCCATTCTAGAGACTTTGTGGAAGTGGTGTTATACAATATTTACCCTCTTGTGTTGGCTTATTTCATGTGGCATGACATTTTCAAGATTCACTCACGTTGTAATGTGTGTCCAAATTCCGTTCCTTTTTTATGGCAGAATAATAGTCCACTTCATGAATACACTACACTTTGTTTTTCCAGTCGTCTGTGGATGGACACATGGGTTGTTTCCATCTTGTGGCTACCGTGAGTAGGTCTGTGGTGGTTCTAATGTTGACCTCTCTCTTCCTTTCACGTCACCTGCTTTATTTATTTTTTTATCAAAGATATCACCACATAAAATTAATTTTTTCACTTATTTATATCCCATCTGCCCCCCTCCCCCCCCACCAAATCACAATCCACAGTGGAGAACCCTTGCCTTCACCACTTTTTCTCCAACCTGGCATCCCAACACAGGGGCAGGCATATAGTAGATCCTTGAAATATCTATTTGTAGAATGTGTGGAGAAAGCCACAGTGAAATGCGGAGGCCGGGCGGGTGACCACGCTTGTTAATTTGCTCACTAAGCCCTGCCCTCCCTCCCCTCATAGGATGAGTCGTGCCCGTTCATACCTTAACCGGATGACAAATTCCTACTTGCTATGGGTCTTTGGGATATGATGCATAAAGTAGAAAGCATTCATGCTAAATCCTCAATGCCAAATATCCACAACATTATAGGATTGAAACTTGCTATCATGGTGATGGGGGCAAAAAAAAAAAAAAATCAAGGTCAAAGAAATGCCAGTGGGTACAAAGAAGGGGGAAGAGAAGAGGAAAGAATGTTGAGTAGCTTTGTGCCTTGAAGAAAGGGCTGTGAATGTCTTTCTTACCCAAGGTGGAGTCTTATTTACCATAATTGGCCAGTGAGGTGTGTGAGGATGTAATCTAACCTGGGGCCTCTGGCACCACCTTCTGCCCTGCAGCTCCCCAGACTGTCACCTGACCTGACAGGTCTCTTCTCATCCCCAAGTTTGGGGCCCACGGGACTCTCCTTGATCTCCTCCTGGGAGGCTGTGAAGAATTTCAGTCAGGGCACGTTGATCTCATTATCCTTACTACATGGCTATTTCCTGGGGCAGGGAGATAATCCAATTCACCTCCTTCCCAGCAGACGGGCATAAAAACAGAATGTATAACATATTATGTCAGACGCAGGCTCTCTCCAGCTCAGCATTCTGTCCCTGACACCAAGAGCAGGGAAGAGTTTGTGAGCACATCTAGTAAGTGTTGCATGGAACACCATGCCAAATCCTGCTCAATGTCTCTCCACAAAGTCTCATTGCATCCCGGCTTCCTGTTCTTCCCTTCTCTCTGGACCACATGCACATTGGCAGATGTCCCTCGTCCCCTTCCCAGGCTAGATTTACTCACCCATCCCTACAAATGTTCCCTATGTTGGGTACTAGAGATGAAAAGATGCATGAGCCACACCCCTTGGCCTCAAGCGGTTTACCATTATGTAAGGGAGGCAGAAAATACATCAACAACCATTAAACTCTTGGGTAAATGCTCAATTAGAGTTTACTATAAAGCTCTATGAGAATACGAATGAGTGCAGCATGCCAGGGAGACCTGATATTTCATCCGGGCCTTGAAGGTGAGTGAGAAGGTCACAAGACAGATAGAAGAATAGACCGGAGTCCAGGAACGAGCAAGTATCAAGGCACAGAGGGATAAAAATACGTTCAGGGAACAGTGTGCATCTCTGTGGTGAAATTGAAATGCAGGGTGTGGCTGGAAATGGGGCTGAAAAGCAATTACAACCAAGTTGTGATGGGTCTTCAAATGCAGGCCAAGGAGTTTAGACTTTACCTTGTTGCCAACCGAGACCTAGCAGAGTGAGACTGTTGACAAATGTTATTAGCCAGTTAGATGAAGGTATGACAAGGGGAGATATATCAATGTAGTTTGGCCAATTTAATGGGTACAGGAGGATGTTGGCCACATTGATGGAGAAGGACCAGAGAAGACAAAAAAAAAAAAAAGAGAGGGGGAGATGTGAGTGAATGATATTACCACTGAATAATGTATACAGAGGAATCAAATGGATAAGGGCAGAGGTACGGGTATGCCAACAGAGCTAGGAGAGTGGTGGTCAACCTTCGTCTAGGATGAGAAATGAATGTGGGGAATTAAAAGCTCCCCCAAAAGATTTCACTGGTCAGCAAAAGGAAGGACCACTTGACAGGAGCAAACAGGTACTCCTTAGGCAGTGAAGACCCAGAGGGCAGGTCTTGAAAGGGAAGCAAAGTAGAAAAAAGAGGAAAAAGGATGGAGGAGAGAGAGAATATAGATATACTGGGAAGAAAAGCCTGGAGGGAGAGAGAAAGAGATGAAGGAAGGAGTTAAATTTTACCTAGAGAAGAAAACAGGAAACAAGAGAGCCAGGAGTCACTGACGAGAAGGTTAACTTGCACAATGAGTAACAACTTCTTCGGATAGAATCAGGGAAGAAGTAAATATAGGTGAACATCTAGCTAGCTTTAGAAGAACAAGGGGTACACGTGAGATCAGTCACCTCTGATGTTCTCTGTTTTCTCTGTAGAGCTTCTGCTGGCCACGGGCTGGGAATTAGGAGGGTGATGGTGGGTTGGATGGGGCGAGTCAGGGTCAGGGGTAGCTGCTGAAGGGAAAGTGGGAAAAAGTCAACTAGAGCTCATTAAAAGGTGGCTGAGCAGCACTGGCAGCCCAGCAGAGGTCGGGAAACTCATAAACGTGTAATGGAGCCAATTCAGCATGGTTCTGTGATTTTTCTCTAGCGCTGTCCAGCAGCCTCGGAACAGGGAGAGAGGAAACAAGCAGTGGGACCCACACAGCTCTGGGAATGGAAGGGAGGCATAACCATGGAAGGACAACAAGGAGATGAGGGAGATGAGGGCTTGGGTGAGAGTGCCCTTACAGAGATGGGTGATTAATCTAGCCTTGGGAGGGGAGAAGGGCAAGGTCAAGAGAGGTCTGACAGTCTGCAGAATCAGGTGTCAAATATAGAGAGCCTGGATTTAAGCATAAGGCTTTGTATTTGTCAAGGTGCTCCAGAGAAAAAGAACCAATTCTTTGTAAATCTCACTATAAGGAATCGACTCATGTGATAGCAACTGTGGAGGGTGGGGAGTCCCATGATCTGCCATCTTCAAGCTGGAGAGTTAGGAAAGCTGGTAGTTCGGGTCCAAGTCTGAAAGCCTGAGACCCAGGAGAGCTGATGTTGTAAACCCCAGTCCAAGGGCAGGAGAAGACCAGTGTCTCAGCTTAAGTAGACAGGCAGAGAAAGAAAAAAAAAAAAAACTGAGTCTTCCTCTGCCTTTTTGTTCTATCCAGACCCTCAGTGGATTAGATGATGCCCACCCACATTGGGAGAGCCATCTGCTTTCCTGAGTCCACCAATTCAAATGCTAATCTTTTCTGGAAACACCCTCACAGACAGAAATGATGTTTAACCAGATATCTGGGCATCCCATGGCCCAGTCAAGTTGGCACATAAAATTATCCATTACAAGCTTGGTAATAGTAGCCCTTACCACAATCCCTGGCATGTATGCCCTGGGCATTATGCTAAGAGCTTTACACATAAGGTTTCATTCAGTCCTCTCTCGTTTTACTGAAAAGTAACTGCAGTTACTTTTAAATTAATTTAAATTTAAATTTAAATTAAATTACTCTGGACTTCTCTGACTGTAAGGCTCATGCTCCTAAACATCTGGCTCTGTGGGGTTGTAGGGCTCGATTTCTGAGCATATGGTTTTGTAGGTTGAGCTATCCCAAGTGAGGAACAAGGTATAGGAGGAAACAGTG